GAATGTCTATATTTATCCTGATGAATCCTGCCCATGGAGGGAAAATAATCACTGTATTGTTGTATTCAGGTAAAGAAATAGAGTGAGAAATTTCTAGAAATTTCTAGAAAGATCCTGCTCTGTCTGTATAGGTATTCTTGAATCCCGGGAAGAAATTTTATCCAATTTAACTTAGACTGAAGTATAGACTTAAGAAAAACAAAATTTATCTGGAGGCTTTTAGTTGATTGTTATTTAACAATATTTTTTAGAGGAATTTTGTTACTGATCCTAAATTAAATATTTCTCAGAGTTTTAATGAAGTTCACTTGTCTTAACTCTTGAAAATATGTCTATCTGACTGTAATTCAGGAGCAAGGTGACTTGTAGGCATCATTCTGGCTGTATATTAAAAAATTCAAAATATTTTAATTTTAGACAACCAAGAAGTAGAAACTGAGCTGGCCACTGGGAAGCACTTCTGAAGGGAGAATACAAAGTGCAGAGAATTTAATTAGCTTCAAAGTAGTAACAGAAGATGAATGCATAGTCCAGAAGACAACACACACCACTACATAAAATTCTGATTGCAACTATTTCTATTCCTTTCAGACACCTGAAATAATTATGCTGTGTTTCAAATTAATATTGCCAAACCTGGTATCATTTTGGTTAATCCAGACATGTGAAAGCTGCTCTAGTGGTCTGAGCAGGCAAAAAGCTTTACTATTTTCTTTGATCTACAGGTGTGTGTGTATGACTGAGACAAATTGCCTTGTGTTTTATTGGCTACAGTTACAAAGGAGAAGTTACAAAGCTTTACTATTTTCTTTGAGCTATGGGTGTGTGTACAACTGAGACAAATTGCCTTGTGTTTTATTGGCTACAGTTACAAAGGAGAAGTCAAAAGTATGAGGGAGCAAGGCTGAGCACTGGCATGACTGACTAGATCATTAATTTCTCAGCAGGATTCCTGTTGTAGTTCTGTCTTGGACAAGGTGGCATGAATATAGATTAAGAGTTTACCATGAGCCAGAGATCATTTCTATCCCATAGATTGGATGGCACCATCCTGTTATGAGAGGCAAATAATTAACTGTTCTTAATGCAATGCAATTTATGCAGGTCCACTTAATCTCAAGGCTAGAGTTGAAAATATATGTTGTTTCTTACATAATTACCATCATCACGGTCATGTTCAGTTCTCCTGAAGGTGCTCTTGTTGTCTTTATATTCATTTGAACATTTTGGGCTGGGGCTGCAAATTTTCTAAAGAATATGCAGTAAGTTTCCCAGGATACTGACTCTGGGCTGCTTGCAAAACAAAGTCATGCATTTTCTTACCTTAGAGGCCTAAAGAACAGGAAATGAGCAACTGGGCTTGCTGTGCCTAACACTGATTAATGCAGTGTCTGCCTGTGTGTGCCTTGCATCAGTAAATGTGTCAAGGATTAAATCTGGGTAATCAGAAATAATTAGGAGTTGGACATAAATCTGAACTGCTGCCTGGGACTGTAATGACAGTGACATTTTAAAAGGTGTTTCTTAAAGGTTTATGGTATTATTTTATCTATTATTTTTCCAGTAGCACTTTTACACATATAATTACATTTATGATAGCATGACTACTGTACAGCTGTGCAACCAAATGTAAATTCTACAATGCATTTATATCACAGGGACAGACTTTCTAAAGTTGGGAGCCTTCTAAGAAACTATGTGCCTTTTATGTATTTTGGTCAAAAGCTTATGAAACAGATCTGAAAATATAAATGCGATACCCCACTGGATTAGGATTTGAGTGACTAGAACACTCAATTTACCTCCAATGTGAAAATACAATGCTTTAATGAAAAAGTAAAAATTAGATACCATGTTTTCATAACAGCAATTTTTTACTTGAAATTAGGTTTTAAAATTAATTATATTAGCTTTAATTCTCTAATATTTTAATAACGTAGTAGTTCTAATAGCTTTGAAAGTAGATAAGACAAAATTTAACCTAGGTTCTAATTAGTCCCAACCTGTTTGCAAAACTGTAATTTTCCTTTCAGCTCAAATATACTGATATAGAATTACAGTTGATAATATATAAAGCTATAAAGGGGTTGTAATAATTTCCAGAACATGTTTTATAATTCAAAACACAAGCACCAGAAGTTCTACATTAAAGTTAAAAGGAAAAACCATCAAGTACTTGCAAATGACACTGACTATTCCCTATCTTGATGAACGTCATTGTGACTTGGATACGCAGTTTTTCCAGTTTAATAGTAGCACCTTTTTTATTGCTATTATTGTTATTTAATTTACTGATTATTTCATTTCCAGACTGAATTTACATATAAATCAAATACATTTAAACTAAATATATGTTCAGCCCTGCGCTTCCACTGTGCCAGCAGCAGCTGCTAACTTCTAAGTGCATCTCCTTGTGTTCATATTTTTGGGTTTATACTACAATTTTTTGTGTGCTTGTAGAATACTTCAATCCATAATGTTGTGATCCTGACTAATATATTTTATTTCACCTTGAAACAAAGGTGAAATAAAACCCTTTTCATTTTGATAATACTTATAAACTCTATCATACAACTTAAGCATATTTAGGGGTCAGGAACAGAACAAACCTAGTCAGGAAGTTTTGCTTTGAAACACAATCTAAAATCTTAGCTTATAGAAGAGAGTGCCTCATACATAAATGGCATTCATTGCATGGAAATAAATTTCCTGCCTAAAGTATATAATTATTTTTATTTTTCTTCTCTTGTGTATATAATGCAGTTTAATCAATGACCATGTGACATTTCTACTCCTTGCTTATTGTAATAATCCCCACATAGAACAAAAATATACCTTCTGGTAATTCAAGCACTTAAGAATCCTTATTCTCTTTTGAGAGCCAAGGCTAGATAAAAACAGAAGTTAGAGGAAAGCATTACAAATCAAATACTACCAAGAACTGGATCTTTACATCTTAGTAATTTTTATTATTCCCTAAGAGTAATTAAGGCTGACTTTTCATATTCCTATATGCTCTAGACATGTGTCTGAAAAATGTCATCTGGCTAAGCAGAAACCAATCACCTGTTCTTCAGTGTTTTTGTCAGTGTATTAAAAATACAGTGCAGCTCGTGCAAAAAAAAAAAATTGTTGTTTTGTGAATTTTACATTGTTAATCAATTTTAATGAAAGAACAAGATATAGCATGGAATAGCTTTAGCTGTCTTGTTTTCCCATGAAAATGAAATATTCACACTGTCAAAAAAGGAAGGGTATTCAAAATTCATAGCAGGAATCTAGACAAAGACTAAATCTAAACCAAAAAACATCTGGGCAGATGAAAAAAAAGGATTGCTGAATAGAAGCAGTCAACTAGAAAAAAAAATATAAATAGGAAATCTTCCTTCCTTTAACAAGACTAGTTCTTGTATAATTCCTATGGATGTTTGCATTTGCTTTCTTAGTTTGGTATTTTTATGACCAGGTCATAGAGACAGATTTTATAAATGTCACAAAAACAGGTGGAGAAGGAAACTGCCTTAGGATTTGTGCTTTAATTCAAGTAAATACAAGATCATTCACACAGATGTAGAGAAAATGTCATATTTGTAGCATGAGAGGTTTACCATTGCTTTGAAAAGCAATGACTTCAAGAAGGATAAAGAAGCCACGTGAGGTAATACATGGAACATGGATTTTCAGTGTGTGCACATGTGCTTCTATTATTTCATGGGTAAATTGGGAAACATCAGGTATAAACTGGAAGAAAATTATACCTTTTTATGTACTTTCAAACTATTTATTTAGTTTGGTAACTGTACCTCAAAAAAAAATTAATGACTATTAGAAATTGTTTAGAAAATAAGTAGTAAGAGATGAAGAAATATCTCTTAATTATTTTTGAGTCAGGAATTGTCAGAGGAACCACAAGAGTCTGCTGGAAGGATTAAACCCAGAATTTTACTTTTAGAGGAAATGAATTTCAGTGTAAAATTAAATTATTTACCCATGGATATATACTACTCAACCTTTTGTTTTGGCCTAACGCATCTAAGACTTTTGTATTCTCCAACAGTATAAAAGAAATAATCAAAAAACCCTATGCTTAACAACAGAAAAGATAAGTTCATACAGAAATAGGTCAGAATGATCGCTTTGGAAGTTCCAACAACTGCAAATGTTTAAATGCTCTGATAACATGAGACAGAGTTCACACTTTATTGTAAAAACTTGATCCAGATGTAGAAAAAATAGAAAGGGAACATTTTTGCAGGTAGGGTCAATTCATAGGATATTAATTTATTGTAATCTTGAAAAGAAGGCCTAAATATCACTTTTTTTTTTTTTTAATTCCAGCTTCCTCTTTCTCTTTAGTAGATTCTCCTTTATTCACATCACATCTTCCAGTCTCTCAGCTTGCTACAATTTATCAATATGTTAATAAACATATTTTCACTCACTTTCTCCTCCTTATTTCCACTCAGTGCCTACTAACCCTGTCATAAGCTCAGAAAAATATAGAGTAGGAAAGAGAAATTATATTTTTCTCACACCCCATGGTTTGTGCAGGTGCTGCCATCTCAGCCTCAGGAGGCTCAGCATTTATGCTGAGGTGGTCCTCAAGGAGATGAGCATCCAGAAGATTCAGCAGAGCTAGACTGTGAGAAAGCTCTGGGAAGGCTTCCTGAGGAGCAAGGTGATAATGATGCTACACAGAAGCGTTGCAGATGAACCTAAGAAATACCTTCATGCTTCAGCAGTGTAATAGCAATACTGCATACTACAGCAGAGCAATAGCAACCTGTTCAAGCATTTATACTTCTTGTTTATACTTCTTCTAGTTCTTGTGTGGAATATAAGAGAATAGAGACAGTGCAGGAGGCAATCTCACCCCTGAGGAGCTGCAGCTGTACTAATTACCAAAGAGTAGGAATAGGCCTGCCCTTAATAAGCCACGGCTATGCCTAGTAAGGATGAGTGCTATAAAAGAGTGAGTTAGCTGGTTGAGAAGAGAGCAGCAATGTGTTGGTTGTGCTGCGAAGTAGGAGCGTCCCTGTGCTGTGAGGAGCTGTCCATGAGCAATCACTGAGAAGGTACAGAACTTTTGCAATAAGATAACAATATTCTTGAATTACAACCAAGGTATTTGTAGGAGCTCATGCTGCTGCTTGTTGTGGTCAGGCATTCCCCTGTGTGTATATAACTGAATTAACTCATCTATTTATATTTAATTACAGTTAAAAGTACTAATCATTCAACAGGGCTCCACTAGATATCACTTTGTATGTGGTGTAGACAAATAGGAGTGGATTTATGGAGTGATCAGTTGTTGCTGTGATCTCAGTGACTTCTCTGCACATATTTTAGAAGGTGTTGAATTCAGACTAATTCTAGGCTATTCCTGTGGGCCAAATACCATGGGTTCAGTTCCTTGTGCTTTCATCCAGATTATGGTACTTAAGAGTCATTGTGTGATGTGAACCAAAGCGTAGAAGGTGACTAGTGGCAAGTAGATCCACTTCAAAGTTATTCTAAACTGAAACAAAAAAGGAGGTTTTATCGCTGTGTACTATTTACATGGCATGAATTGTTTAACATACTCATGTTTCTGCTATGAGTATATTACACATCCTTGTACTGAAACATTAAACATTAACCAGAAAGGGAAAGGAAAATGAAAGAAGTCAGATAACTTAAATTTTTTAAAAAACAAACTTAGAGAATGTTAAATATGAGGAGAAATGGAAGTAGAGCTACAAATGTGGCATTGCATTTTTTTTTTTCTGAGGAAGAGGTGCTTAAAGAAAAAATTGTCAAACAGGATAACTTATGCACTGCTATATTTATACCTAGGTTTTCATGGAGAATGTCCTATAAATTGGATTATTATGTGTACTTTTTCTAGAATATATTTCCCTAAACTTGTTTTGTATACCAAACTGACACTCTAAACCCAGTGTAATGCCCATAAATGACTTTATACCCCAATGGCAGATTTCATTCATAACAACAGTATTAAATTTTGCAGTCTTCAAGCCACTGGCAAGGAAATACTACGGTTTTCAAATAACAGCTTTGGAATTTTAACCTATGTTTTTTACAAATTTTAAAAATAATCTTTCTGAAACATTTAAATGGTGCACCTCACATTCCCTGCAAGTCAGTGAAATCACAGTTGTTAAGATCCACTTATCCACCTATCTGTGAAAATAAATGTACAATATCAAAAGGTTTATATAAAACAGAGTAGTTAAATCTGTTTAAGTTTATTCAGTTAATTCTACTTTTCTAGGATATATTGAGTACATAAATATTTTGGACTTGAGTTTTTCACAAGTAAGCATACTTTACCATTTATGATGTGGTGTAATATGTAGAAATATATCATTGACTGAGCTAATTTCTCATATATGCACTGATATGTTCAGATTTGGCTTTAATCAGACTATAAAGGTAGTATATTATAGGGTTAATTTAGCTTCCTTTTATCTCCTAAATATTGCAGAGCAGAGCTCTTTTCTGTCAACAAGACTAATTATGATGCCATGACAAAATTTCCTTAGAAGATCAGACATTATAAGTATAAATAAACACTCTGTACCTAGTAGAAAATTATAGTGCATCGTGCAGATTGCATTGGTAATTATTCAGAATGCCTTTACGTGTTGAGGAACCAAACCAACCAATCCTAAAATAAAATAGATGCATGGGATAATTTGCACTAATTATAGCCTATTTACCTGGGGAACACTTTGTTCAATTGTAATTATCTTACAGCATGCTTTATGAAAGTGTCTTCATCAAAAGCATAATGAAGTAAATTCTAGGACTACCTTTCATTAGGGGAATAAGAAATTTAAAATTACCATACTGTCGATTGGCAGTAAAGTGCAAAAGTACTACTTTTAAATCTAAGAATAAACATTTGCTTTAAAAGTGTTGCCCTGAGTTCAGAGTGACCAGGAGACATTTCTTCTTTCCAAATAGGTTATTCTGCTGCTGAGAGAGCAGCAGCATGTTGGCTGAACACATTCCAAGTCCTTTCTCCTCCTCTTTAGAGTACACTTGCCATTCCTTCTATTGCTTCTAAAAAGAACAATTTGCAGGCATTTAGACCCATTCAAAGGCTCAAGTAAGTAACAGATGGATTTTACAATTTCCACTTACGGTAACCAGTCTTGGTGATCTCTGTCTTAACATGACTTTAAAGCACTTCTCATTGTTACTCTGTTCACAGGTATCTGAACCAGTACTCGGGGCTTGGAGTAAAGATGGGTATAATATGATGCATGAATCAGGCCAGTTAGTTTTCTAGAAATTATACTGCTAGCAAAGAAACCATGCCTGTTTCTTTGTTCCTTCTGGAAAGGAGAAAAGGAAGGCGAGCTATAAAAAGAAACTGGTTTTGAAACGAGGAATGAAGTTGAGATGAGAATTGTCTAAATTCTCAATTTGATGATCACAGACAGAAAATCCATTAGGTACATCTGTAAAGTGCTCATTTTAGTGCCTTAAGTAACTGAAATTAGTATTTTCACATCATAGACACTTCATTATTATATAGTATCAAATGCTTTGAGCACTAATCTGTTCAGTTTTGTGTTTTTATTAACTCTCTGACTATAGGAGCTCCAGAAAGCTCCTCAAGAGTGTGACACGGTTGAGGGTCATATTTTGCTTCTACATGCTCTCAGACAAACTCATTACACACAAGGGAATAAGAATTCACTCTTCTGAAAAATAGTTCAAAAAGGTAATGTTATGTGTATTTTGGTAATTCATGCTGATTGAGACTATATGTGTATGTGTATATTGATAATTCATACATTATGAGTATTCTGTGAGGTGTGTATGTGTATATTGATAATTCGTACATTATGAGTATTCTGCGAGGTGTGGTATAAGTATTATATAGGATATAGTATGGTTTCTAGTAAAACAAATAATAAAGGGCACACTAGCCAGAGACAAGGGTGCTACAGGGAGTGAGGAGACGACAGCTGGCAGCAGAGGAAAGGAATCCAAATTAATACACGAAAAAGACTGGCCAAGACAGGAGATCGGTGTTCTCTCTGGAATAAACCAGAAGCCACCCAGCGATGGTGGCCCATGAAGATGTCTGACCTAGATAATCTGAGCCATCAGAAATTTACATCTGAAAGACATATTCCAGGAATTCGGCAGCAAAAATACATCAATTCCCAGATGAGCTTTTTTTGACTTTTGCACAGAGAAAAAAACCAACATGAATATGGGAAAATCTGAAACAAAGATGGGTCCTGAATAGAAGACAATAGACTCTGCCTTAGACGAGAAAAACTGTATTTAAGCTGGCTCTACCAGGCTTTCCTTGTGAACACTGGGGATTGTCTCCTAGTGAGCTCAGATTCTGTGTTCACCCAGCTCCAATACTGATGTCAGTGCTTGGCTGTCCGGACTGTGTATTGGTTGTGAATGCATTCTATTTATATTTTTATTAAATTGGCTGGATCCATTTTTAACTTATAATAGGTAGGTAGAGTTGTCACATGAAATAGGGGTGTCTGGCCCAGATGTACTTTAATCTTCACCCTCTTTTTGTTAAGCATTGCCGCTTCAAGCTAGATTGTAGTTACTGTCTCATAGTGCAAAGACCCTTTAAGAGTATATTGTATGCCAATCCTGAAAATCCTTTAAAAAATGTTGGGATTTATCTTCCAACAACTTTATGAATATCTTGTTTTAAACAGTCTATTAGCACAATGGATGGTCCTGTGACTCCTAGAATATATTTTGAAAAATGTGATTAAATACCTGCTATATGAATGCATGCACTTGCATAACAGCAATGTTTGCAAGCATGGGTAAACAACCCCTAAAGTCATTTAAGGTAATATCACCAGACAGTTGATAAGTAAGTGAAGTGTAAATTCAAATCCAAATGTCCACATACTAAAGCCTTATGGAGATCCTAAGGAAGTTTTATGTGTTTGTCAGGAGAGCAGAGAGAGTGGACCTAAATATAGGCACTAATCACAGGCACCAGAAAGCATTGTGTCCTTGAGACATAGTGATACCTCTCCTGGTGAGAGTGAGACTTGCCACACCAAGTTTGTTTCAGTACACTCATAATGGGAGAGATCTTTCCCTTCCTAAAGAGCTCTAGAATAAGCTGTATCACTCCAACTGCTGAAAAAGGGTGCATTTCCTCCCAAATATGTCTTGTCCTCTCCTGAAATATATCTTGGCTCTCATGATCCGATCAAAACAAGTAAATACAGGTATAGAATATTATCTTCTTAATGGCCTAAAAATGCCAGAAATGTATAGCAGGGACAGAATATCTTGGCATCAGGGAAAACTGAAGAATCTGCTATATACACTGCAAATGTATATTCTTCAATTCTATTAACTTATTTTTTTATGTTGACCTCTGAACATATTTTTCAGCTGTTGGCAATTTTGGCACTGGATTCCAAGTTCTCTGTGATGGGACACAAGAATGGCTTTTTCTAAGGCATATTTAATCAGTTCTCTGGAGACTTGGTGGCCATTTGTTAGCCTACGGTGGAGAAACAGAACAGTCTAGTTCTCTCCAGTAAAGAGGACCAGAAAAGCACATATGTCTTGAATTAAACTGAAGTGGAAATTGCTTCTGCAAAACCTCCTCACTAAACTACTTACGAAACTAGAAAACTAAACATAGGATTGTTTAGTCAGTAACTTATTTAGGCATTTTAGTATTCAGCAGAGAACCTCTGAACATTATACACTTAAATAGTTTTGAAGTTAGTCCTTTTGCTTGTCTTGAAAATGAGCATTCTAGTTTGTGTGCAATAATAATACACACAATATGCCAGTTTAAAAATCTATAGGCACAACCAAGCATAACAAGCCTTGTCCACAAGTCTTATTAGTTATTTCACCATTTTGGAAATGAGACATCCAGATTCCAGTTTGCCATGGGGAAAATCTTACCATGTTTTCTGTTTCAAATCAAATTAACATCAAAATGGTTTATTGATCTATTAATGACAGATGCTTAGCAAGCAGGAGGAAGGTCATACATTCACAATCAATAACAATAATACATAAACTCCAATATTAGATGCTTAGAAACTTTGCAATTATAAATCATCACAAGCACACACAGACACAAACTGTAGGGCAGAAGAGCACACACCCTCTTTCCTCTTCCCTACTCACACAGCTTCTCACAGCAGAGCTGGGCACTTCCAGCCATGTGCACACACAGTACTCTGCTGTTCAGTTTATACCATGATGGTTTCCATACAAATGCACCTTTTGCATTGGAACCAGATAGAGACTCAAAATATCCATGAACCACGATGCCTAAACCAGGCTTATTGTCTCCTGTGCAGAAATCAAAACAGTCCCTAGCTGGATTGTTTTGCATAACTCTTGTGCATGAAGAAGACACAAGAAGTCAAAATTTCTGGTACTGCAGTTCAGTGTATGCAACAGGCATTTCTTTGTGTATATAATATTCGTTAGGTTGTGGTCCTCATCATACCCAAGTTTTAGTCGCCAGACCACAGAGCTAAACTTCCTCTGCAGAGCTTGTTTGGCTGAGCTGAGGCAACCACAGAGGCTCAGAGCTTGACAGTACCTGTGCCTTATGAGACAGGCAGGGCAGCTGACTCCTCACCCTCAGCCCTCTGCTTGGCACCTTCATGCCTTTTCAGACATAACTAATCTTGTGTGCTGAGCTTGGCAGCTAGCTTTTATTATATCTGCAGCATTTTAGATTTTAATTCAACCACGTAACCTCTTTTTTCTTTAAAAAATATTGTTAATAATGGCATTATTTGTTATACATAATGAGGTTTAATTGCACTCTTTAAAACCCCACTGTGCTTGGGAAGTCAATGGGTTTCAAAACTAATTGCACTTGGAAATTTTAATGCCAGCATCTCTTTTACTTAATATTGTAAATTATGCTTTATTTGAAAGTGTTTTCTGTTTACCAAAATTATTATGCAAATTAAGTGCTCTAACACATTTGCAGAAGACATTTAAATTATATTTGTAAAGCAGAGACTCAATTTGGAAAACTGCATGCCACTTATAACTAAGAATACAGACTGGAAAAATCATACACAGTACAACTCTGATTGCATTCTGAAACATGAAAAAACAATATTTGGATTCTTATCTCCAATCTGAATCTAAAAGCACAAAACTAGTAATAAAAAAAGAAAAAATGTTTCACTTACCATTTCCAAAGCCATGCTCATATGCAATCTCTTCTTTCAAGATCATTTACAGTATTTTCTGCAAACTGCATTCACAAATCTCTGGCCAGCTATTCTGGCATGTAGCAAAACATGCTTCTGTCTTCATAGGGGATGGTGTGGATATAGTGGTAATAGGAGAAAATCCAATATGCAGGTACATATTGGTTAATTTTTTTCAGAGAGTGACTTTGTTTCTCTTACAAACTTCTCTTTGCCTTATTTTGAGAGAGAGGAAATTATATTTCCCAGGGCTTTGACACGTCTTTAGAGTTGGCAAAACTCCTGACACTTAGGTGTGGTTCTGGACTGTGAAACCTGTACACTATCTCACACAGATAAAAAGAACACTGATGGTTTTAGTCCTGGATTCAAATCTGCATCATTATATAGTCATAGCCCCTATGTAACATTAGAATTAGTCCTTAAGTGAATCAACTAAATGCTCTTACTCTGACCAATAATCAGGCAATGAAAATATATGGGTCTTTACAGAAGATAACTGCAGGCAATGTCAAATCAGATTGTGTTTTTTTTTACTGAGGATATGTTGATGCATACAGTGACAACCTTTGGTGGATAATTGAGGGATAGCATTTGAAGTAATACTGTAAGTGTTTTGAAAAAATCCTTTCCCACTCAGCAAACTTTTGTCACTTTCAACATTACCTGTTTATTTACAGAAACTTTTTCTTGAATTTTCAAGAGAGTGTTGATTTAGCATTAAAATATGAAATAATAATTCAAAAATGACTGGTAGGGCACGGATTATAGGAAAATGGATTTTAAACTTCTGCAAACGCTTCAAAGGCAGAGTAGAATGGTATGAGAACTGTGTAAAAGTCAGCAGTTCTACTTTCCAGGAGATTTCAACATTTTCATGGCCCTGGGGGTTTTATTCAACTCACTCTATGTATGCACTTTTTTACTCCCTCTTCCACTCCTGCTGCTTTGAGCTCTGCTCATAAATCATTTGCTTCAGACTCGTTAACATCTTTTATATTTATCAATATCTTTTGACTATTCAAGGGACCAAAACCTGGGACATTGTTCCAGGTGTGGTTTAATGAGTGCTGAGCAGAGCAGGAGTTCCCTTCCTTGATCTCCTGGCTGGGCCCATGGTTGCAGACCATGTGCTGCCTTGCTTTTATGCTCCAGCTTATGCTCAGAGGATTCCAAGGCCTTTTTTTGGCAGAGCTCCGCTCCCACTGGAGAGCGCCCAGCCTGTGTCACTTGCAGGGTAATGTGTGATACATAAATATCTGCACATGTATGTGTAAGACATGAATGTATGTGTATATGCAATACATATTGGTATGTGATATATATGTCTATGGAGAGTTAAAGATGTATAAAATTGTGCTACCTTTTCCATTGTGGGAAGTGTACTCCTGACAAAAAAACCCAAAAAATTTGCATTTTGTAAATGTTTTTCTAGTACTAGCAGATGAGGTAAAATCAATGCTGCAGAAATATTTGGCTTCACATGCAATTGTACTGTTAAATAGTGACAATCACAAGACCACTGAAGATGAGTCATTACATTCCCAATAGGTTTAGCATGATACATGTAATGATTCCATATTACATATAATGTCACAGCAAGTATCCTCACAAGTCTTTAAATGCAGTTA